GGGGGTCATATTATTGTTGGGTTTTTCTCTGTATCTATGAAGCGCCTTGAGGCGACTTTTGTTGTGATTTGGCGCTATATAAATAAAATTGAATTGAATTGAATAGAAGAAGCCATGTCATGAGATCAGAGCTCCACTGACTAATATTGTCAATACTCAACCTTTTGAACTCATATCAATTGATTTCCCACACCTTGAAAAGTGCAAGACCAGTTATGAATACATTATTGTAGTCATTGACCATTTTACACTCTTTGCCCAGGCTACAACTTCCAAATCAGGTAAAACTGCTGCATGCAAAATCTTTCATGACTATGCTCTAAGATTTGGCTTTCCAGCACGAGCGCATCATGATCAAGGTGCTGAATTTGAAAATTAGCTGTATGTGCAACTGAAAAACTACTGTGGAGCTGCTGAGTCCAGGACTACTTATGAGTGCCTTCGTCTCCTCCGTGCTGATGTTGGATGCTGGGGTTTTGCATTGCTGGGACAGGCCATCAAAGAAGTGGAAAAGAGGGCTTTGTTATCCTACCCTGGAACACCACCAAGTCATTGGTTTAGGTATGTGGATGACACCTGGGTGAAAATCAAGTCTCAGGAAAATTCACAGATCAAATTAACTCTGTGGACCAACACATCAAATTCACCAGAGAGGATATGAAAAGTGACAGGTTAGCATTCTTAGACTGTGAGATTTCCATCAGTAATGGGGGACATCTAAAAGGTGATGTGTACCATAAACCTACGCATACGTATTTAAGGTTTGACTCTCATCATCTACTGGAGCATAGACTGAGTGTCATGAGGATGCTACAACACAGAGCGAACACCATCCCCACAGACACAGCGGCCAGGGAATCAGAAGAACATCACATTAAGAAGGCCCTGAATTAATGTGGTTATCCCAGCCAGACATTTGTTAAAGCTAGGAAGATTCAAGATTGTTTATTTGACACCTAAAGACACTTAAAGAAAGCTCCAGCCGATCCAGGAGAGAAGGACAACTGCTGCCTAAACAAAAACCTAGTAATCCCGTATGTGTCAAGAGTATCGGAACAGTTGAGACGCATTTTTTCTAAACACTGCATCTCTGTGGCTTTTAAACCCCAAAACACGTTGCACCAAAAATTGGTCCACCGCAAGGATCGGGTCCCCCGACACAAATAAAGTAATATAGTGTACACTGTTAAGTGCCAGGAGGACTGCCATACATTAGGGAAACCAAACAACCTCTGGCAAAGTGGACGGCAGAACACACAACAGCCAACTCGTCAGGCTAGGACTCAGTCAATTTACACCTACAGGGGACACTCTTTCAGCGATAAGAATGTACAGATCCTGTACAGGGAGGAACGTTGGTTTGAGAAGGGAGTCAAAGAGGCCATTTACGTGAAAAGGGAAAGACCATCTCTGAATCAAGGAGGGGGCCTAAGGGTACATCTGTCACCATCTTACAATGCTGTGATTGCAGC